GTGGAGAATTTGTTTTGTTTGTCACATGACCAGTGGAGGATGGGTAAACCCTCTACTTTGCAAGAGATTCCAGGCTATTTTAGCAAATGTTGTGTGTTTTCTAGCTGCGCTTTAGGAGCTGGATAACTTGGTAATTCCGTTACTCCTTATTTTTCTGAAAGTCTTGTAGTGAAGTTTCACTTTTTCCATTTGAAGCTTCATGGTCTTTTCATGTGGCTCATTTTTCTATATTGGTTAATTAAGAGCAGTGATCATTCAATTGAAATTGCCTTGTTTTTGTGAAGATTGGCAAGCTGTCATAAAGTTAAACCCTTTATTGTTGCCAATCTCTACATTCTTGATACCTGAGATTGTTTGAAACTCTTGAAATCCATCTTGAGTCTTTCTTGAGATTGCCTTGTACTTGTTTTTGAAACTGAAATCCAGAAATGGATAATGATTATTGAAATCCTCATTATCTTGATACTTGTCTGAAATTAATTCTTGCATTGTTCTTGGAATCTATTTTGAGTTGTCCTTGAAAACGTTCTTGTTCTGACACTGGTTCTTATTCAAATTCTGTATACTGCTCTTGCTCAAATCCTGCATATTCTGCTAGTTCATGTGTCAGTATATCTATTGATCTTCTTGATTTTTGATTTTTGTTCATATGGACACCTCTTTAGGAGGGGTGATGGTTATTAGAAGATACCTATATGAGGCATCCTAAATTCTTGTTTCTTGCAAGTGTTAATTTCTGTATTTTGATGTCCTAGCTTTAACTTGACTCTAGGATGTCTAGGACAACTTGATTGTAAACCTGCTTAGCCTCCATGAGCTACGAGGTAAAGGGGTAGTCTTTGAAATACTTGATGCCCTAGAGTTTTGTTCCAAGTGAAATGGTTCTTTAATCTGGCTGCTTGGATTTTTGTTTGCCCTTTTAATTGGAAGACATGAATCTTCTAAGCATCTTGATCCCAGCCATTGCTTTGTTGTGTTAATTAATTCTAGTACTTGAGGTGCTAGATCTTGATATCCTAGTTATATCTGCTCTTGAATCCGTGTTCTGATTGTCATTATTGAAATCTCTTTTGTGGGTCTAATCCTGGAATTCTATTGCTTGTTTCATGGTTAACTCTTGTCTCTCAATTTTGATTGCTTGGTTAAATTTGATCTTGATTCTTGGTGAATGCCGTTTTGTTACTAATTTTTGAGGCATTCTACCTTGTACTCTTTTGTTCCAATATTCTTCCAAGCATTCATATTTTCCATTGATTTTATTCTGTTGCAATTCTTGAGATTCTTACATGTCTTTTGATGGGTCTAGCTTTTAACTCTTGTTAATTGCTAAAATCTGTTTCTTGATTCCAGTTGCTTTGTTAAACATGACCCTGCTTATGGGTTAACCTTGTTTTGTGGCAGAGTGTATAAGGCATCCATGAACTCGTTCATTCATTCATGATCCATATATCCATTGGATGCTTATCCATCTTTGATAAGAGTTCAAGTTTTGTTGTGCTCGTCATTAAATCCATGCCATTCTTTGCCAATTGTCTTGTGATGGGTTCGTAGCATAACCCCACAATTGTTCTTTTGTGGCTTTGGCAGGATTTATTTTCATTCATTGTGCTTCCCATATCACCCCAACCTCTAATAGCTTATTTGATGGCAAATCTTGTTAAGTGATTAGTGTTCTGCTTTTTAAGATTAGTTGTGATTTGTTATCAGAGTGGCGCAGCGGAAGCGTAGTAGGCCATGTCTGTTCATAGAAAGTGAGTGAGGCATTTGTTTGTCTTGGATTGTATGACGCCATTCACCAGTCTAGATGATCCCCAATTTGAGTTTTGGGGACAAAACTCCTTTTTAGGAGGGGTGAGTGTAATATCCCAAATTTTCGGGAATATTTAAGTGTAAGTTAAGGACTAAATTGTGGAAAAATATGGTTTTGGGACTTAATAGCGAAAGATTTCAAAGTTGAAGGACTTAAAGAGGGAAAGAATTTGGATAAGGATGACTTCTTTTATTTTTCTCCTTTTTCTTTCTTTCTTTCTTCTTCTCCAGCCCGATTCTGCTCTTCTTTTCATTTCTTCCCGCTGCAGCCACCCGAAGAAAAAAAAAGGGGGAACCCAGCCATGCTTGAGAAACTAGTGAGATAAGCTTGGTTTTCTCCTTCCTTTCTTGCTCTAGAACACACCTAGAACCCAGAAATCTTCCCCCCTGCTGGAAAAGCCAGATCTGCCCTGCTCTGCTTTGTCCTTCCGCCGGCTGCTCTTGATTGTGGGTGATTTCTGGGCATTTTTCGGTAAGAACAGCCCCTAATTCCTTTGTTCTTGCTTGAATTGGCTTGGGTTAACTTTGATTGCTCTTATTTCCTTCATTTTTGGCTAGTCCGTGAGTTCCCCTGCAGCTTGCCGCCGGCTTCTTCTTCCCCCCTGCAGCTCCGGTTTCTACAGCTGGAGAATTATGGTATGTGACAGCCTTTTAAGGCTTAAATTGTCCATTTAGTTTGCTGGCTGTGTTGTCCGAATTTTGCTAGAAAAATGGGGGAAATTCCCAGTAGCTTTAGGACCATGATTTAGCTTAATTGAAGTGGGATTTATGTGATTGAGTGTTAATTGATTGTTGTGAGATTTTTGGAGAACAATGCCGTGAGAATAGGCTATGGTTTTGCCAATTTTGGAAGTGGGAGTTACTGTTCACGTCGGGGTCACTGTTCACATGCACTGTTCACCTGTTACTGTTCACACCCCGAGGGCCAACAATTTAACGGGGATTTAAATGATTAGTTTGTGATATGAGAACGAATTTGGAGATGTCCGATCATGTGGAAAGTGATAGAAATAGCATTGTGATTAGGAATGATCCTAATGATGATTTCAGCTTGAATTTGTGATAGTGGTATTAATTCTTGAAATATCTTGATTAGGTTCTTGATCGTCCTGTCAGTTTAGTACGTGAATTGATGCTCGGTTTTATGCGAGTGGTAAGTAAATTATGGTAACGCCCTTTGATTTTAAAAGCATGTTTTGATTTGTTTTTGAAGTGGTGGCGGGACTAAACCCGTTTTACACGAGCATGACTGATTTGAAGTGAAATGTTTTATGCTTTTCATTAAATTGAGCATGCCTACTTGAAACTTAAGTGACTGTCCTGATGATTTGAAAGTGATTGTGAATTGTGATTTTCCTGTTAACTTCTGCCTGTTTTGTCTCCGATGTGGTCATGTTATTCGTGACCTTGCTAGTGGGGGAGGTTATAAACACTAGCACATGTCGGCACTTGTCGATATGTTATTCGTGACCCCGCTAGTGGGGGAGGTTACAAACGCTAGCACGTCTACATGTAGTGATAGAGCCGGTTCGTTCAACCCAGCTAGTGGGGGTTATACACCAGCAAATCGTGGCCCTGCTAGTGGGGATTATACACTGGCCGTGACCTATAGAGGAGACGTCTATTTTGTGCCCATACTGTATCTGTTTTCGTGATTGTACTTGTTGGCATGCTTTAAGTTTGATAAGGGGCACTCTATATTTACTTACTGAGTTTATCTCATAGTTTTCCTTGTCCACCATTTCAGGAAGCGAAATCAAGGACGGGGAAACCACGGAAAGTGACGAGTTAGAAAGCTAGCCATTTCGAGATTGATATAGATTTTAGAAATAAATCATGATCTTGTAAACTAGAGTGTATTTGGAGATCTATGTTATCGGAGTAAATTTTAAAGATTTGATCTTCAGATTTTGGTGGTATCAGAGTTCAGTGTGATAAGTTTTGAGCCTTGTGCATTTGTGGGACCCTCTCACGAGTGCACGGCGTCTGTCGTGTCTCGAAATTGGGTTTTGGGGCGTGACATTTTTGGATATGGGTTTGATTACCCTTGTACTCATATTAATAACATTGTTGTTAAAAAAAATTATGATGTGATATTAAATGAGTATAATATATTTTTAAATGAATAAATACAATTAATGTTACAAGTGGATTTCTAAATAAAAATAATCAATTTTATAATAACACATTATGTTATCAGTTTACGATATAACGTGATATCATAACTATAACATTTTTTATACTTTTATTATGCTTACTACAAAAAAAAGAAAGCTCATTTTTGGTTTTTCTAGTTAAAAAAAAGGTCTATTTCTAGTTCTTTTACTTTGAAATTTTTATTATTTAATGTATCACTGTTCAAAAAGATAATAGAAAGACTAAAAAAAAGTCAAATAATAAATTTTATGATTTAAAAGGAGGGTTTTTTTTTAAATAAACGAACTAAAAGGAAATATTTTATTACAATAAAGACACCAAAATAAGGTTTTAACATTTTTTTCTTTTTTTTTTAAAGATCAAAAAACTATTTTTTAAGAAAATATAAA